TGCTGCTTCTGACCCCCAAAATGGGGCTGAGCCATGATGACCCCAAGCAGGCACCTGGGGCGGGGGACGGGGACAGGGCCCCCCACTCCTAGTGCTGCTCCTGCTGTGGTCCCCGCTGGCACCGTCCCCTTCTGCTGGGGCTGGGGACACCCACCTGTGCCTGGAGGGGGAGAGGGGGAGGGAAAAGAGAAACCAGAGATAAGAGAAAAAGAGAGAGGGGAAAAAGGAAAACAGAAAGAAAGGAGAAGAGAGAAAAAAGGGAAAAAAGGAAAGGAGAAAAAAGAGGAAAGGAAGAGGAAAAGAAGAGGAAAAAGAAGAGACAGAAAAGAGAAGGAAAAGACTAGAAAAAGAGAAGAAACAGAGAAGAAAGAGGAAAAGAATAGAAGAAAATAGAAGAAAAAGCGGAAAAGGAAGAGGAAAAGAAGAGAAGAAAAAAGAAAAAGGAGGAGAAAAAATGAGGAAAAGGAGAAGAAAAAAGACAAATAAGAAAAGAATAAGAAAAATAAGAGAAGAATAAGAGAAAAGGAGAAAAAGAGAAAAGGAGAAAAAAGGAAAAAGAAAAGAAAAAGAAAAGAGAAAACAAAAAAAGAGGAGAAAAAGAGAGAACAAGTGAAGGAAAGGCGTAAGGAAAGGAAAGGGCCGGGAGGGGAGTGGGAGACAGAGGAGCAGAAAGCGGGGGGCAGCGAGGGAGGGGCAGGGGCAGCGGGTGCCGGTGGGTGGGGGGGCTCCCAGGGAGGCGCAGTGGGTGGCCCCGGGGGGTCCGTCGGCTACGGCGGGCGCGTCCCCGCTGGCCAGGGTGTCATCACGATATCCGCGGGGCCGACCTGTCGTTGGTGACGGTCCTGCGCAGGCGCACCCCGCGCCGGATGGCCACCAGCATGTCTTCGGCCGGGGGGTCCATGGAGGCTGCCGGAGGGGGTGCAGGGGTCTCCTCACTGGGGCCAGACCCCACGAGGGCGGTGGGGAAGGGGAACTGGCCTTCCCCCAGGGCGTGGGCACCAGCCACCAGCTCACCGATCTTCTCTACCAAGCTGTGCCGGTTTGCTGCCAACTGTTGGTCCTCCTCTTCCTCAGCGGAGAGGTGCTGGCCGGCCCCAGGGTAGACGGAGATCTCCATGGCACCGCCGCCCCAGGCGGTGTTGGGAAGGCTCAGCCGCTTGGGCGAAGCTTTGGCAAAATCCAGAGGGTTCGGCGAGGCATCGTCAGCGTAGAAGACGCACTCTTCGCTCCCCACCCGTGTGGGGCCAGCGTAGCCAGGGGAGTCGGGCACTGTGGGGGTCTTCACGGGGACGATGGGGGGTCGGATGGGGATGGGGCCAGCGTTGGAGAGAGTACGGCGGACCGAGGGCTTGGTGGAGGGCGTGCGGCGGATGGTGGCCACCCCTGGGGTGGTGCCGGCTGGTAGGTTGGTGCCGGTGGGCAGCCCGGCAGTGGAGGCAGGACGCTTGGTCTGGATCATCCGCCGGTAGTTCTGGGCAATGTTGCTGTTGCGTGGGATGGTGGAGGACTTGTCGAAGTCGCTCTGGGGGTCACACTCCACGTCGCCATTCACCGAGTAGCAGTCGTAGTCAGAGCCTGGGGAGGGGGCGGCAGTCAGCGTGGCTGGGTGGGTGGTAGGCGGCCCAGCTGGCACTGCCAAGCCCAGCCACTACCTTCACAATGCAATCCCAGCCAGCCTGAACCAACGCCGTTGCAGCACGACCACAAGCAAACTCAATCGCCACCATTGCAACATAATCCCAACTGGCCCCAACCACTGCTGGCACACCATGCTCACCATCAAGCCCAACCATCACCATCAGAAGGCAACCACAATCACCCCAACCATCACATTAAGATCACAACCAAACCCAACTGTCACCATCACAACATGATCACAACCAGCCCCAGCCATGACTATCACAACTGGCCTCAACCATCACTACCACATGGTCATAGTCAAACCCAACCATTGCCATCGCAATGACCCCAACCACCACCATCACAGTGTGATCACAGCCAAACTCCACCATCATGTGCTCACAACCAGCTCAGCCAACACGATCACAGCAAAACACGACTGTACCCCTGGTTACTCGATCTCCAACCGCCACCTCTGCTGCCATGACCCACCGTTTCCACCTGTACCCAACTGCTGTGCACAACCACGTCACCACAAACCATCACCAACCACAGCTCACGTGGTGCTACCTGTTATTGCACTGCCAGGCACAACTGTAGCCGTCAAGACCCAACTAACACCCAACTAACCAGGAAACCTCATGGTTGCCACATGGCACGATGCTTGTGCCGCATGCCAAACCCCCAACGCACACAATCATTAAATCTTCACCCCACCAGCCCCCATGTGATGCGACCACAACCCGATGCTACCGACACCCAGTGCAACACAGACGTGTCCCGGGACCACCAAAGCCTCTGTTGTCCCCTTCCCCTCTCCAGGTGCCATTTCGGGTGGGGCCAGGTGCCCCTCACCGCCATGGGGCAGGTACCTTGGGAAGGGATGGTGTCCTCGGAGCAGGAGGGGGTGGTGGTCTGCGTGCTGTAGCCGCTGGAGTACTGCAGTGAGTCCCGGCTGCTCTTCTGGTGCTCCAGGCTGAGCCCCCGGGTCAAGACCATGGCCAGGTCACTGGCAGCGGGGGACACCTCCTCCCCATGCTGCGGGGGCAAGAGGGCACTGTCAGCACCCTGGTTCCTCTCTTGGGAGCCCCTCAAAAGCCCACCACCTCTGTGGTCGCCCGGTCGGAGCCAGTACCTTGGCGGCAATCGTAGCCGGTGACATTCGGGGCCTGGGAGCATCCTCGCCGCCGATGCCCGAGTACCCACTGGCAGGCGAACCCATCTCGGCTTCCCGCAGGTGCTCCACACGGTCCTTGCGCCGCTGCAAGGTGGGGACCACTGGCTGGTCGTAGGGGCTGGCCTTGGACCAGTCCTGCAATGGGCAAGGCATGGGGTGACACCGGGGACACTGGGACCAGGAGCTGAAAGCAGGGCAGGGAAGGAGGGGGCACGCGCCAGTGTCCCCCCACCCCGAGCCGCGGGTGCTGTCTGGGATGCTCTGCCCCATGGGAGGGGCGGGATGGGGGGATCGGGGGGGCTGAACCCCACGAGGTGTGGGGGGACCCACGTGTGAAATGCAACCCTGGTGGGATGGGGGACAGCACCGAGGAGGGGAGGAGAGGAAGAGGAGGGTGCTGCTGCTGAAGGCTTCACCTTTCCGCCACCTGCCCGTGCCCTGGCAGCGGAGCAAGAACTAACCGAGGTGGGGGAGCTGCACTCGCTAACCGACTGGCAGGTTTCGGAGGCCTCCGAGGATGCCGAGCTGGAGGACTTCTGCTGTGCCAGGAGGCCAAGCCGTGAGCCGGAGGGGGAGAGAAGAGGCGGTTAGCAAGCACAGCCATGACCCCGGGGTAGAGCAGCATCCCCAGCTGCCCCAGCCCACCCGGGTCCCCAGCCCAAGGCAGCAGATGCGAGAAGGCAAGCAGGATGCGAGCCCGCAGCAGGGAGCACAGAGCTGGGGAGGTGCCGGCTGGGTGAAGCTGGGATGCTCAGCCCCAACCCTTCCCCCTGCTCAGCCCAAGCTCCGCAGAGCCAACAGTCATTTTGGGGAGCGGGGATGGTCCCCGCAGCCACGGCGTTGGGATCCCTGGGCACTCTCATCACCGTGAGCAGCGCCAGGTTGGCAATGCCAGGTTAGTGTGGGCACACCAACCCGGTGCTGGCAGTGCCAGGCAGCCCGGGGGCGCAGCCAGCACAAGGGATCGGCAGCTCTGGGGGGGTGCCGGGGGGGCCTCTAGAGCATCCTTGACACCAGGGAGGATGCAGGGCGAAGGGGAAGCTTTGCTCTGTGCTACCTGCTGGGGGACTGGTACAAACTGGGTGTTGCGGGGCTGGATTGATTGGGAAATACTCTGTTCCCCTGGCACAGGAAGGGGATACCTGTGCCTCATCCCTGGGGGGGGTCACAGATGAGGTTTCTCTGCACCATGGCCCATGGTGGCCCCAAGCAGGGCTGGCATCCCCCAATATTTCCATTATTTATCTCCTATGATGCCAGTGCAGCTGGAAACACGCGTGGGGGTGGGTCCCATCACATCCGCACTGGACCCTTGTGTTGCGCCCAACAGCACCCACCCATTCTACAGAAGGGAAAACTGAGGCACGGGGGGGGGCAGCGGCAGCACTGACCCCCTCCGTACCTGGCTGGTGATGTCCGAGGGCATGGGGGAAGGCGGTTTGGAGTAAGTAGCGTCCTGAGAGATGAAGCCGGAGTCGTGGGAGGAGACGCTGGAGAGGCGGGTGGTGGCGGCGGGGGGCTGCGCCAGGCTGCGGTAGCGATAGGTGGAACTGGGTGAGCAGGTCTGAGCCCCGCCGGGCCACGCCATGCCACCCTTGGCACTGCTAACGCTGCTGGGGGGGTGCCGGGGGGGGGGATGGGGACACGCCGGAGGGGAGGACAAAGGAAGGAAAAGAGACTTTAAGATAGAGGTTCGGAGGTGGCGGGGTCCCCAGGCAGCAAGCCCAGCACCCTACCCCACACCCCAACCTGGGGAAACTGAGGCACACTGTCCATTTCCCTTCTGGGTTCCCCCAGTGGCAGGGGACAGGCTGAGCAACATGGCAAAGGTGACATGTTTGCCCCCAGACCCCCCCTGCACAGCTCACATCGTCCCCAAAACCCAGAGGACGTGCCAGGCACCCGTCCTGCCCCATAGGTCTACCAGCCCCGACCCCGCACCCATCCCAGCGCACCAAGACCAGTTCCTCCACATTACTGGGGATCAGCTGGCCTTGATGTGCACCTTGTGAGCATCCCCAAGGGCCGTAAGCATCATTAGCCCCCTGGGGTTAATGAAGGGGTCTGGATTTCCAGGCAGCATTAGGCAGGGAGCCCACCTCACCATACCTGCACATGCTGGACTTGCGGGAGCTGGAGCTGCTGGGCGAGGATGGGGGGGTCTGGTAGGACCAGCTGTAGTCAGAACCCTTCAGGTCCTTGATCACCTGCAGGAAGGATGGGGTTTAGGCCCCCCAACCGTGCCCCCCCCCCCCCCTTCCCCCCCTTTTTTCCCCCCCCCCCCCCCGCTGACCTGCTCGCTGGCGGGGGGCAATTTGTGGGGCTCAGCGGTGAGCACCACCAGGTCCTCGATGATGCCCTGCAGGTGGGTGATCTCTCCCAGCATGGTGAGCTCCCCGTTCTGCGGCCAAGAAAAGGGGGAGCATCAGCACCCATCAGGCGGCAGCAACCTCCCCCGCTGCCGCAACCCCCTCCCAGCCCCCCCGGCGCTCACCACCACGGGCTGCAGGAAGGTGATGAAGGTGCAGAAACGACCCCGCTCCTCGATGAGGGCTTTGCGGACTGCCTGCTTCTCTGTCTCCTCCAGCAGCAGGTACATGTCGTTGACATCCTGCAGCGCATTGTCCAGCTGGGGTTGCAGGTCCCCCTTCCCTGCAAGATGGGGGCACCATCAGCACCGGGTTCCTCCGACACCTCTCCCTGCCCCCCGCAATATGCTGGGGGTCCCGTGGCCAAACCAAGGCCACCCTCTGGCTCCGGCTGGGAGACATCACCCCATCCTCACATCCCAGAGGGTACTACGGGTTCCCCCCCTCTCCGTGCTGGTATCCCAGGAGTGTCCGGGAGCACCCTCACCCCACGGCAGCCCCGGGGAGGGAGGGCTTCTTTGCCACCCCGTCCTCATCCTTGGCACTTGGGACCAGAGGACCCGCTGGGGTGACACTGCTAAACTAAGCTAAAAGCAGGGGGGGGGAGGGGGCACAGGGAGCGGACAGATGGACGGACAGATGGACGGACTGAGGCAGCCCCAGGGAGACCAGGCAGGAGCGAAGCAGACAAGGAAGCAGAGAGGGGGCCGGGAGGGGTGTGGAGGGGGGGCAGCGGTTCACTTACCAAGCAGCTCTACAGGAAGGATGTGGAGGGGAGGGAAGAGAGAAGGAGACAGAGAAAACGTGTGAAAAGAGGCCGAGGGCCGGGACACGCGCCCCTGCCTCCCCGCCACCCCCCCCAGGCCATGCTGGCACTCCCCTTTCTGTGTGTGTGGGGGGGCAGTGGGACCCCGTTGGTGCCCACCCCCACCCTGGTTGGCAGCCAGGGTGTCACATCTGGGATGCCCGTCCCGGCCGGGGGTGCCATGGAGGGACTGGTGGGGGTACCCCCCCCCCAGGAGACCCCCCCTCACCTTTGCGAGCCTTTTTCTGGAGCTTGAGGGTGTCGGAGGATTTTTTCTTGATCTCGTGGCGGGCTCGCTTGTACTCTGGGGGCACAGAAGTGCTGTCAGAGGACACCCCCCCCTGCTGACGGGCACAGCTCCCCCAGGACAGATCCAGCTCGGCCCAGCCGTACCTTTTGCATGGTCCTTGTCCAGCTGGTTGGCAGTTTTCTTCCAGTCCTCAATCCTGTCCTGCAAAGGGTTTATCAGGCTCTCCATGAGGGCGCTGGAGCAGGGAGAGAGAGGCAGAGAGTGTGGGAGAGAGCTGGAGCTGGGGTGGGGGGAGCTGTGCCCTCCACCCTGGGCCCAGCCAACATCCAGCATCTCCTTCTTCAGAGAGAGAGGGAGGGCTGAGCCCAGCCAACTCATGTCACCGATGCCCTGGGGATGCTTACTTGGTGAACTGCCGGAGCTTGGCCTCGATGCTGCGGTGCCGCATGCACATGCGGGTCAGCGCGGAGCCGATGTCCCTCGTGGCACCTGGGGGGGGGAGCAAAACACTGCTAATGAGGGGCAGGGGACACCCCCACACTAGTCCCAGCCCAGTTTGTATACTGGGACCAGGCTGGCTCACAGCGGGGACAACCAGTGCTGGGATGCCTTGGGCTTTGGGAACACTTTGGGTCAGAGGTAGCTCACTTTTTCCCCTGATAAATCCACTTAATAAATAAATCAGCATCCACTAACTAATAAATAAAGCACTAAATATCCCTTCCCATGGCTTCGAAATGAAAACCTGCTCCCGCTTTTTTCCCAGTTTGTCTCAAATCCAGCACTGGAGTGGGGCCAGGGAAGTGGGGGGCGAGGTATTGTGCAGCCAGCCAGGCACGCACAGAGGAACCAGCCGGCCGGGAGCAAACAGCTCCAGGACCTGCTTCCCTCCCCAGCTCCATGCCAGGCAGCCGGCTGCGACCCTCACCTCCAAGCACGATCCCGAGTGTATAAAAAGGGAGTGAGAGCTCCCTGGGGAGATAGTTGCCAGCAATGGAAAGCTGGAGCGTCCCTTTCTGGTGAACCTGCTGTTAACTCTGAAGCCTAAGGATGGCCACATGGTGGCAGTGCTGCTGGCAAATCTCAGGAAAAGCAGCAATCCGAAATCCCTGAGCGCAGGCTAGGGAGTGATATTCTGCCTTTCTCTCCCAAAAAAGCCTCCAGAGACACCTCCCACCCTTTGCAGGAGTTTTGGGCACCGCCACAGCACCCCAGTGCTGCAGAAACAGGGGAGCCCGTGTGTGGAGGGCCTTCTCCTCTGCTGGGGTATTCTCCTAATCCCGCTCCTAATGCTCTTATCCTGGCTCCTGCTGTTCCTAATCCGATTCCCCTGTGCGCTCACATGCCTGGTGTGAGGCTGCCAGCCGGCCCCCACCGAGTGCCTTGCCTCAGTTTCCCCATGCCACTGCTCTGCCTTCCCCCCCCCCCCCCAAAAAGCAGGGACATCCAGTGGTATCCCCGAGATGCCACCACCTGGCACAGCACTACAGGGTGGCCCCCCATGATGTCAACTCCCGTGGTGCTGGTCACCAGCTGTCCCCAGCACCCCCCACTGTGTCCCCCCCTCCTCGCTTTTGGTGCCTGGGCTGGAGTGTTGCTGGGGGAGCCCCTAATCTCCCTGGTGCAGTGGGCCAGCGGGTTTGGAGGCAAAGCTGATCCCAGCTCAAGCTGCTGCCTCCTTCGCCTCCTCCTCCTCCTCCTCCTCCCCGTGCAGCTCCAGATGGCCTGGATGCCGCCAGTCTGCAAACCAGCCCGGGACCATCTGCTTGGCAGAAACCAAGCGGTGGGAAGTGGCTCCTTGCCACCACTGGGCACCTGGAGAGGGTCCGGGGGTCTGGCCCCCCCACCCCATAGCAGCGCAGTAGGGTGCCCCACCTGCAGCCTCAGCTCTTCACGTCACCTCCCCGGTGGGTTAGGGTTTGTCCCCGAAGCAGTTGAGCGTGGGCTCCTGCATCTCCCTCCATCTAATCCCCCTTCCCCAGAGCCCCCTGACGCAGCCAAGACCCCCCCCAGGCACCTCCCAGGTGGGTGCAGGGGACAAGGGGCACCGGGAGAGCGGCACAGCCCCAGATCTGGGTGCATCCCAGGGGGGCAGAGATGGGTGCGGGGGACCACGGCGCGAGGCTGCGCCACCCCGAATCTCCCCGCAAGCAAACCAGCCCCACCAGAAGATGCCGGCGAGGTGCCCACCACACCCGCTCCCCAGCCTCAGCTGCACCCCATCTTTCCAACCCTGCTTCCCAGGGGATGCTCCATCTCAGGGTGGGGACAGGTTGAACATGTCTCCATGGATGGTGAAGCTGCTGCTTGAAGCCCACCCAGCCCACAGGGGGACACTCGCCACCCATCCCCCTGCCTGGCCAAACTGGGGACACCCATCCCTGGGTGGGGAGGACCCTACCTCGGGTGTTGGTAGCCATGTCGGCCACTTTCTGGAAGGCATCCAGGAAGGCGACTGCGGCCAGCACCGTGGTCCTGGGGCGGAGAGAGCGAGGGGGGAGCTCAGCAGGTGCTGGGCACCCCGAGATTTGCCCGTGGTGGGGGAGGGGGTGTCCCCCGTGTCCCTCCCCCGGCCACTCACCTGAGCTGGGAGTGCAGCTTGGTGGCCTTCGAGTTGAAATCCTCCCAGATGGGGTAGGAGCTCTGCAAGGAGGGAAGGGGACAGTGAGAGCCGGAGCCCCTCACCCCCCCCTGCACCCCCTCCCCAGGCAGGGCAAATCCCCCCTTCACCACTGCGGAGAGATGGGGCAGCTCGGTGGCCGTGCCTGGCTGGGTGTGGCTTCTCTGGTGGCTAATAAAGGCTGAGCACAACCCTTTTGCCCTCCTGGGTTTTTCCCTTTCCAGTCTGGCCACGCAACCTCATAGACCAGGGAGACCTTGGGATTTTGGGTGATCTCTTCCTCAAAGGGGTCAAGGCAGCTTAAGGCTTTGGAAATTTGAGGGGAGGAAGGGAGCTGGTGCACAGGCAAACTTTGAGACCCTGGCCAGCAGCAGAGCAGAGCACCCCAGCGCCTCTGGCCTCCCCCAAAGCAGCAATGGCCAAAACCACCATCATGGAGGGCTCCAGCCCCACAGTGGGTAGCCCCAGTTCCCGGCTCCTCTGAGCCCACGAGGACTGATGGGGCAGGAGGAAAGGTCTGGGGTCCCCCCAGCCCTGAATGGAGCAGTTGTGTGGGGACAAGGACAGGTCACAGGTGCTGGGGGTGCACCCCAGTGCCATCCTGGTGAGGCCACCCCAGTGCTATCCTGGCCAGGCCATCCTGATGCCATCCCATTGAGGCTATCCCAGCAAGACCAGTCCCAGTGCCCTGGAGGTGAGGCCATCCCAGGGCTGTCCCTGTGCCACCGTCCCATTGAGGCCAGTCCTGGCAAGACCAGTCCCAGCGGTGTCTTGGAGATGCCAGTCCCAGTAAGACCATCCTGGTGCCGTCCCAGCGAGGCCAGTCCCAGTAATGCTGGCTCCAGTGCCATCCCACGAAGGCCAGTCCTGGTGCCATCCCAGCAAATCCATATGGTGAGGCCATCCCAGTGCCACCATCCAAGCAAGGCCAGTCAGTGTTGTCCTGGTGAGGTTAATCCTGGTGCCATCTTGGTGAGGCCATCCCAGTGCCAGCCTGGCACAGCCAGTCCCAGTGCCACCATGCTGGTGAGGCTATCCAGGTGCCACGATCCCGGTGAGGCCATCCTGGTGCCATCCCAGCAAGGCTGCTCCCAGTGCCACCATCCCAGCAAAGCCATACCAGTGAGGCCAGTCCTAGTGCCACCATCCTGGTGATGCCATGCTGGTGCTGCCATCCTGGCGAGGCCAGTCCTGGTGCTGTCATCCTGGTGAGGCCATCCTGGTGCCGTCATCTGATGGCAGTGCTGGGGGCTTGCAGATTCCCCTAGGGTGGCCACCAGGCTGGGACATGGGCACCGGAGCCGGCTTTGCAGGACGTGGGTCACTGCACATCCCTGTGAGCCCAGCTTGGTGGCACCTCTGGGGACAGAGTTTGCACTGAGGGGGCACGGGACCAGCCCAGGGTTCTTTTTTGGGGACCATGAAAGCCCCAAGTTCCCCATGAGCCAGCAAGGAAGGGGTTTGAGGATGCCACTTCATGTGCCACTTGTGGCAGTGCCATGGCTCAGGGCCACGAGTCGCCAGGGACTGCCATCGCTGGAGGGCAGGACCACCATCCCAGAGCCACCTTCACCTGGCCACCTCAGCTAGGGCGAGTGGAGGATCCCCCCAAACGAGGGGGCAGGTCGTGATGCCCCCAGCCCCCCATGGTACTGGGCAGGAAGAAGATGAGGATGAGGAGAATGGGGACAAGGACATGCCAAGGTCACCCAGGGACGCCAAGCATGCTGGAAGAGAGGCAACAGGAATGAAGCTGGCTTGGGGATGCCGCTGGCTCGGGGACTGCCACCAGGCTTTGCTGCCCAAGTCCTCCCCAACACAGGCCGAGGGGTGCCGAAAAGCCACCCGCCACCAAAATAAGGTCCCTTTGCCCCCGCATCCTGGCTGCTGGACCCTAAGCACATTGCTGCCGTTGAATGCCATCAGCTCTTTGGGCAGGGGGTTATTTTTCCTGGTCCCCCAGCACCCACGCCAGGACACCCACATGGCTGGGAAATGGGGACAGGGACGAGGACGATGCATCCTTAGGGGCCACCGGCGCTGGGCCGGGGCTGTGGAGGGTACAAGCCAAGCGTGGTGGGGCTTTTTTCTTCTTCTTTATTTTTTTTTTCTCATCTTTCCTACCTACGAATGCCATGAAAATGAATCCAGCCCAGCTTCCTGGGGCACGCAGGCGCGGGACACCACGGTGAGGGGCTCCTGGCCCAACCACGTCCCGATGGGGCTGGGCACGTTGCTGTGTGGCCGTGATGGCTCCGGACTGCCTCATCCCTTCTGCAGCCCCAGTGGGGGGAATGGGGAAACTGAGGCACGGGCTGCCCCCACCTCCACCCTGTGGGCGTGGGGCTCAGCAGGGTTGCCAGGAGGGGGTGGCTGAGGTGAAGGTATCTGGGCGGGCTGATCACCCCGGCACTCTTCCCCACCAGTCCTGGCCCCCACCGCCCTGGGGCTGGTGCCTGGAGAGAGCAGGGATTTTTTTTCCCTCAAGGGCTTTTCTCCCAGCCCCGAGCCAGAGTCCAACCCTGCAGAGCCACCACCACCCCTCGAAGGGGTTAATCTCCTTCTCAGCAAGGCTTTTATTTTTTTTTTTACCCCCCCCCTCCCCTGCTTTGGCAATGACAGCATTGTCTGGACTGGGCTGCCGCAAGAAGAGAGGAAGAGGAGGAGGAGGAGGAGGAGAAGGAGGAGGAGGAGGAGGAAGAGAGCTTTTGCCTTCCAAAAACGACTGGGGCTAAACCCCAACACCGGCGCTGGCAGTGGGAATTTCGGCCCCCCAAGATGAAGAAACCCGGCTGGTCCCCTCCTCCCCGCTCAGCCCCCAGATAAAAATGCCCCCCAGCATTTTTTATTTATTTTTTTTGAAATGAAAACAAACAAAAAAAAAGGCTTTTTTTTTTTTTTTTAAACACGGCCCCATCCTGCTCCCAGGGAGGGTGGAGGCGATGTCCCCTCCCTGGGTTGGGAAATGGGATTGAGGAGCCGGGGGACCTTTTTGTTCCATTGGTGCAAACCCCAGCAGGTCCGGCAGAAATCCAAGCTGGGGAGTGGAGGGTGGCGGGGGCAACGCTATGCCCAAAACAGGCAGCGATGCCAGATGTGAGGCCAGCGGTACCTGACGTGGGGCAGCAATGCCTGGTCTGTGATACCCAACGTGGGGCTCCAGTACCTGACCTGGGGCTCCGGTACCCAGGGATGGATACGGGGCTGATATGGGGTTGCAATCCCCAGCATGGGGAGTCCGATGCCCAACGCAGGGCCCTGATGCCCAACAGAGGGTTGATGTGGGGTTCCGGCACCCAGTGCCAGGCTCTGCCTCCCGAAGCGGGGCCCCGATGCCCGATGTGGGGCTCTGACAGCCGATGGTGGACACGGGCTTGATATGGGGCTGTGAGCCCCAGCATGGGGCTCTGATACCTGGTGACGGATATAGGGCTGATGCGGGGCTGCGATCCCCAGCACGGGGGGGTCCGATGCCCAACGCAGGACCCCGATACGGGATTGATGGGGGGGGGGCCGGCACCCAGTGCCAGGCTCCGACACCCGATGTGGGGCCCCGCCACCGGACGCGGGGCTTGATGTGGGGCTCCGATACCCGACACGGGGCCGCGATACCCATCTCGGGGCCGGACAGCAGAGCCCCGGTAACCCGCGGCGGGGTCCGGAACGGCGAAGCGGGGGCTGCCCGGGATGGGGTGGGGGTGGGGGAGCGGGGGGAGCGCTGTCACGACAG